TGCATTTGCACACACAAGCACGCATCACTTCTACCTCTGCCCTTCTTATATCCTTTATTTGTGATAACGTTTTTGCTTCGGATGACTTTGATTCTATCGTAGGCGTAATGAAGCTTTGAGTTTTAGCTGATGTCGTCTCAGGGGACGTGCTACAGCAAACCTGATTCGATCAGACGCATCCGATTGACGCGATGGCAATGAATCGGCGGTGTGCATCTAGGAGAATCTTCATTTTGATTTGTGGAAGCAGCGCAACCAGCTCAGTCATGATCACCTCAAGTTCACCTGCAGGGACATATGTTGGACTTATTACCCGACCGTTATTGCGCTTAACCCGTACACGATTTTCCAACAAGATTTTTGAAGCGGTATCGCACAATAGGGCCCTTGATTTTGTCCTTGAAAAAGTCTGGGTTTCTGTTTAGCTTGTTGGCCACATCATCCCACGCTGCCAAAATCGCTTCAAATCTGGCTCGAACAGGCAACAGTTCCTTGACATACTTGATAAGCAAAATGTGATCCTCTTGGGTGTACCGTTGACGAGTGGCCTTGGCGAGAACCTGGTCATCGGTTTTCACGAAAAGCAAGGTGGACGACGACTGCGGTTCCTTTGAAAACGGGGCAATAGCCATTTGTGAGGACACAACGGATAGCTTCTTTTCGACCAAATCGTTACTGTCTTCAGGTCGAATTTCACGAGAGCGACCCCGCTTGCCCAGTATCTGGACCTGATCTTCCCTCTCGGTGGTGTCCAGCTTGGGCACCACCTCAGCCATGACATTACGAAAAGCAGCGCCTGTGATAGAGCGCTTGCTGGCCGACTCCGGTCTTAATCTAATCGCGGTAGCGCACTACAAGGCGCTCAAAACGTTTCTTGGCGATGGGACCTTTAAGGTAGTGCATTGTAGAAGCATGAGAGTCGTTTAGAGTCGTGGTGATCTCATCCTACCTGGCCATACGGTGCGCGAAATGGCATACTGTGTTCACTTGAGCTGCAGGTAAATAATCCAATTTGGGGTCAAGGCGCTGGCGAGTTCGCTGCTTGGGTGTCATGATTCAGAGGTTGCTTCAATCTTTTCTCTTAGCGATTTCCGTATTCTAATTCCAACTCTCACTTTTTGTAAGATCGTCGCCTATCATAAATCTATTTTGTAATTCGACTGTACCGAATATCTTTTCTTTTAGTTTTCACGTCGTAATACAGTAGACTCCCGCTTAAATACGCCAATTGATCCAGTACGGTTTGTGTGCACTTAACTGGTAGGTGCGTACTTATAACTGTCATACTCTATTAGACCTCTTTCAGAGAGCATTATGGCTACCAGAGGCATAGGGAAGCGTCTTAACGAGTTCCAGAGGTCTGAGATCATTGCTAAGTTGAGCAAATCA